CACTGAAATGACTTTCCAAACATGTGGGCTGAAACCTCTTCAGTCCAAATCACGGCGGTCCTGCCCACTCATGAAGGAGGTCCCCTGCGGGTCCCAACTGGGCAGCCCCTGCTGAGCCTCATTCAAGGCATGGACGTCAAGGTTATATGCAAACATCCCAACTTCTCTCTGGAAGAGTCACGCCTCTGGATTAATCAATGCTGAAGTTCAACTGTATTCCGAGTCTCCCCATCCCAGGCTAAGCTGGAGAGGCCCTGGCAATGGGATCTGGGCGCCGGCTCAGGGCTCCTCATGGCATGCTCTTGCACCATTCTCTCAAACTCCTGACCTCAGGTGATCCACCCACCTCGGCCTCCCAAAGTGCTAGGACTACAGGCATAAGCCACCGCACCCGGCCTGCCACCATCATTCTCAACATCATCTTGACCATCACCCACAGGGGCACCAGGGAGGGGTGGGGTGATCCCCAAGCCTCTGCCATGCACCCCAGGGTCCTTCCCTCTGAAGGAGGAAAGTATCCTGTGGACCAAGGCTAAGACTGGACCCTGCCCTTGTCCGGAGAGATCTGATTCCCTCCCTCCCTGGGAGCCAGGCCCCACACACACAGCATCAGGGCACGGAGAGTGATGAAGGTAAGGGGTGCCAGCTTATGTCAGGTGATGTTTAAGCAGCGGCCAAGATGAGTACACCAGGTGGAGATTTGGGTGAATAGCACTCCAGCCAGGGGGACAGTCAATGCCAGGCCTCTGTGCAGGAACATGCCCAGTGATCACTGATGCTGAAGTTGTCCCCCCTGGTCCCCCCACACCCCCTGCCTCTCTTGCAGTCACCTGTGTGGAATTGCAGGGCAGGTGGGCAGGGCTGACTGGGGTGAAGATAAGAAAGAGATGAACCTTGGGTGTTGACACTTTCTTCCCAAAATGATTGGAATTTGAGAAGAATAGAAGGAAGATCAGAAAACAGACCTTGGAGCCCACACAGCAGACGAGGGCTGGACTACGTGAAAGAGCTCATTTCAGTCATGGGCTCAGTGTCACTCATGGAGAGGGCCCAGCTTCACTTCTGGCCAGCAGTGTGTTGGCAGCAGCTGCCTCTGGGAGGTAGATTTCAGGATGATTTATCTTCTCTTTCTTTACATTTATTTGTGCTTTCCAAGTGGTTCTTTGATGGGCATGTATTTCTTTTAGAATTAGACAAATGTTTGAAACTGGAAGTGGGGAGGGAGCCTTTAGCTGAAGACCATGTCCAGTGGTGTCCAAAATGCCCAGTGCTCCACACAGCTGTGTCACTCCTATCTGACCCCACAGTGAAACCAGCAGAGGGCAGGAATGTAAAAATAAAACTGGAATTTGGTAACCTATGACTTTGACACACCTTGCTAGGAAGATACCCATCCTGGAAGCCAAGGCCAGCTGTGAGGGAGGAAAGCTATCCTGGGAGACTGAGCCAGAGGCTGCAGCTTTGGGGCACCTGCCTCTGGGGGCTGGAAGAAGGCAAGGAAGGAAGTTTTCCTTCCCCCACCCCACCATAAGCCCTATGGAATTCGGATGACAGAGGCAGGGAGTGAAGGCAGGGAGCCACCAAGAGGGCAGCCCTTAGAGATGAAGGATCAAAATCCTTCCCAGAAAGAGAGTTTGGGCTTTGGGATGTTGAGTGATCATCTGCACAGAAGCAGAGCTCCCACCATCAGGCCACCTTTCCTCCAGGGTCTACAGCCCTTCCCCAGTGCTATCAGGCACCAGAGGAGCTCAGTAATTTTGGACAAATGACTTCATGATTTGAGTTTGGGCAGAGTTCTCTCTTGCAATTCATTAAAGCACAATTGTTCCTGGGATAAAGAAGAATTTAAGATTCCCTTCCTGGAATCCCTTGGTTCATCTCAGGACCCCAGTGGCAAGCTTGGCCCAGGGATGGAGTGCCCTCAGTAAAGGGAAGAAATGACAAAGGAAGTTTTGAACAGCATGATGTGTGGGGCCACACACTTCCCCACGGCCTTGGAGTCTCTGCCTGGGTTGCCCCACTGCCCTCTCCCGCCTGTCTTGTTTCACTCTCCACCTGACTCAGCCCCTCCAGCCCAGCCACACCAGCTTTCACCAGTCTCCAGACGTGCCGCACCATGGCTCCTACACACACAGTCCTGCTCCTGGCCTGCTCTTCCCTCCCACAACTCCTCATCCTACAGGTCTCATCCTGAACATCCCTCCCTTGGCCTCCCACCACAGGCACCCAGAGTCCCCAGGACTAGAAGCTGCCCAGCATCAGGCACACAGTATGTAAATAAACGCTGGTAAAAGGACGGGAGGGGCCTGGCCAGTGTGGGCCCTAGCAGGGAGTGGGACCATGGGCTCAGGGAGCTGATGCTGGAGACCTGGGGGACCCACCCCTTTCCCCCAGATGATTGACTTCTAGACCTGCACATACCTTCCTGACCAGAAGGTGTCTGCTGGGCAGTTGCCAGGGTGAAGCAGCCAGAAGTCTGTGCTCACAGGCAGCTGTGAGGATGTGAGGAGGGGCCGAGCCTGGGGAGGATGCCGCAGCACCCCACTTCCATCCCAGCAAGACCCACCTGGATGGTTTCCCCCGCCTGCCGGTGTTGGAGGTGTCTAGCTGCAGACCCCTGCTCACAGGGAGACCCCAGCTACACCATGTAGCTCTACAGACTTGGGAAACGGGTTTGCCAGCTGGTGATCCCAAGAACTCCCAGGGTGCTCTCCATGCCTAGGCCAGCCTAGCCACTGGGGTCCTGAGACGAAACAAGAGGCTCCAGAAGGGAATCTTGCCCAGGGCAGCTGGCAGCTCAGAAGTGGTTTACACCCCACCAAGGTCCAGGAGGAAGGTTGGGGGGATCTGCAAGGATGGGGCGTCCTGCCCTTCTGACCCAGCCTGGCCTCACATTCAGGTTGCCCTGCTGTGGCATGTTCTTTGGAGCCCGATTACTCACCAGCATTTCTGAGTACAGCCTCTTCCTGACACCATATCCACCTGCTGTGTACGTCAGTTTTTCAGTATCTGGATATAAACACCCCCACTCCAGGAAGTCCTGGGAGCACCCCCAGTGCTGGCTCCTGCAGACCCTCCACACAGGCACACGTCCATCTCCATTTACCCCAGCAGCCAGCCCCACCTCCACTTTCATTCTGTACCCCCACTTCTGGTCCGTTTGCCAGGACCAAATTTCAGCCTCTTTCAGGCAGTGAGGAGCTAGACTTGGGCAAAACTATTCCTCCCCTTCCCCCAAACTGATCCTTATCCAGGCCTAGAAAAAGGAAGAACCCAGCAAGTTTTGTAGGGGGACAAAGCCACTGTTTTCAATGCCATGTAGCTCTACAGACTTGAGAATTGGGTTTGCCAACTGGAGGCCCCAAGAACTCTCAGGAATCAATATCCTACTAGTCAAAAGAGGGATGCGAGCAAGGTGAAGGGGTGGGAGAGAGGCATTCTTGTCAGAGCACAAAGACTCCCAGAGAGCAAATAGATCTGATTATATTGAACACAACAATTGATTTTTTTCTAAATAAACATGCAGGAGGAAATGGTAATGGGCATCTGTTTCTGGCGGAAATCAATTGACCCCAAATTAGAAGAAAATCTAGAAATACAAACAAGCACAAGAAAAAGTGGTTGGGCTGTCCAGGCTTATCAAGGGAGGGAAGGAGGGAGGGTATGAAGGAGGAAAAGAGGAAGGGTAGAAGAAAGAAACGGACAGACTTCCCCATCACTCCTTTCCCCCCAGTAGCTTCCCTGACAGTTGCTCTTCAGTAAATGTGGTTCCCATAATGACAAGGGAGGGAGTAGCTATCATGTTATGAGCCCTTACTGGGTGCCACGCCGGTGCAAAGGCCTGTATGTGCACATCTTATTTAATCCTCATAACGACCCCATGTGGGAGACACTGGTGTCTCCATTTCACGGATGAGATCACTGAGACACCCTGCCCAAGGCTACATGCATGGTGGCAGCAGAGCTGGAGCTCAAACCCAAGGGACCTCAGAGCCCATGCTCTCTAGCACCTCTTCCTATTGACTCTCCAACTCTGGGATATTACCTCAGGCCCTAAACTGGCCTTGGAATTAAAGAGAAGAGCCCCAGGCTCCATCAGCCCATTGGCCTTCAACCTGGAATGGTCAGTGAGGAGCCCGTGCCCATTCTCCAGGATTCAGCAAAGCCAGGCACTGAAAGTACTCATCCCCCAGGGAGATGGGAAGTGGGGCTGGAGGGGCTGCCCTCTCTGCTGACACTCCTGCAGCCCCAGTGTACGGGCCATGCCCTGCGTAGTGTCCATCCTAGAAGCCCATCACCAGTAAGATAAACTACGCCATGCTGCAGTGCATCCCAGGCCTTACTTGCCCAAACACTGCACAGTTCTGCTGCCGTTCAGCAAGCACGCCTGGGATAAAACGAGCTGTGTGCTTTGGTTTTAATGTTGTAAAGCTGCTTTTTGTTTCTTGGTCATAGACTTGTGTATATGTTTGTTTTGAAGTAATCCAGCTCTGGGAGGGTACCTAATTAACATAAGCAGGGCTTATTAGTCTTGTTAACTAAAACTCCCTAATCTAGGAGGCCAAGTATTCAAAAGCAGCCTTTAAGGTAGGATTAAGGCAAAAACCAGCGATTACAAAATGGAATTGGGGGCGGCTTTCCTAAAACCTCTGTGGGGCTGCCGCTATATATTCTGCTGGAAGAATTTCCCATTCCATCTGGCAGTTACTCTAGTCTGGCTTGTAGTAGGTGCTCAATAAATATTTGTCAGGTGGACAAACAGGTTCCCTCCAGCATTTGCATCATGTGCAGCATGCATTCCATGTTCAATCAATATTTATGGGATAAATTGGTGAGCAGAACACAAACAAGTCCCATTCACTACAGTTGCACCATGCACTGCACATAGTGAATGCCCAGTGCCTATTTGTGAGTGATATGGATGAATGGACCAGCGGCAAGAGCATTCTCTCAAGACCATGGGATAAGTCTCATTATAATAACCTCACCTTCTCTTTCAGGTGACACGTGCACCATAGCCGGCTATGCCCGCTTGAAGAATGTACTTCTGGCGCTCCAGACCCGCCTGCAGCCACTCCGGGAAGGAGACAGCAGACAAGACCCTGCCTCCCAGAAGCGCCTCCTGGTGGAATCTCTGTTCAGGGACTTAGATGCAGATGGCAGTGGCCACCTCAGCAGCTCTGAACTGGCTCAGGTGGGCAAGGCGTTCAGTGAAAGTCATATTATGGGGGAATCCAGTTTTCCATTTCCCAACCCCTACTCCAGGTGTCTGAAAGCGTGGTTCAATACCTCTGAGAACATCTCACAAACAAAATGAGGTCAGGTTCTTCTTCCCACCAGCCACCTTCAGCGTCTATTTACAAACAAGCTTTCACAGGCCCTCTCAGCTATCTGGCGAAAAACTCACTTCAGAGGGCCTGGTCTCTCATATTTTGACTGGGAAATCAATCTTTTCTTCGTTGAGTAGGAGTAGTTACTCAGCAGAAAAGTTACAAGGAAGCAGTGCTTGGTTTCCATTGAACACCATTGGAGCTATAACCTGGAAGTCCCCAAGTCTTCTACCTTAGGACATTACTGCTCCTTGGTATCCAAAGATTAAGAACCCAAACCTCAGCCTGCTTGTTTGCAGAAAGCCCTGTGTCTACCCGTCGACCCCCACCAAGCCCTGCTCTCATTTGGGAAAACACTTGCATTACACCCTGCGGTTTGCCTCCCTCCCCCGAGACTGCAGTGTTAACACAGCACACATGTCCTTTGTTGAGCTACAGGGTGGTGCAGGGGTAGTTAGTGTCTGCAGCATAGAAAGCAAGGAAAGAGTGACCTCACTCACTGGGGCCACAGCCACTGCCAGTTGCAGGGAGGAGCCTGTAGAGTCCTGATGGTGGAAAAGCTGGGGTGGGCTGGAGGGGCCTGCATTCCTACTTCTGCTTACTGGTTTGTTCCTAAGGGTCTGGAGCCCTAGAGCCACACCAAGCAGGTGCAAGATCTGCAAGGAGAGTGAGATCAGCCTCCCCAGTTTGGGTGGTGGGGGACGGTGGGCACCTCTTTTCTTGTGACCACAGACTGTCCACCCAGTGGATGGATAATAAAGACAGGTCCCCAGCTTTGATGCAAATTTAAAGAAATTTTAAACAAGGGACCTTCTCAAGGCTGTGGCCCGGTCATTGGGAGGAAGTGGGGTGGGGAGTGCCCTAGCATTCATTGAGCCATGTGCTTGACATTGAGCTAGGCCCTTGACCTGTGATTAATAAACTCAGAAGGGTTCGTTGTTATGTAGGATAGTGGCAAAGAATGCAGACTTTAGAGTCAAACTGCCTAAGGTGAAGTGCTGCCTCCAGCATGTATGAGCTAGTGGACCGTGGGAGACAATGTCGTTTTGCTGTGCCTCTGTGTTCATCTGTGAACCTCACAGGGTCATCATGAGGGTTAAATGAGCTAAGACAGTGAATGCCTTAGAGTGGTACCTGGCATGTGGTATGTTTCTTTCTTTTTTTCTTTTTTTTTTTTTTTTAGACATGGTCTCACTCTGTCACCCAGGCTGGAGTGCAGCAGTGCAGTCTTGGCTCATTGCAGCCTCTGCCTCCCGGGCGGAAACCATTCTTGTGCCTCAGCCTCCCAAGTAACTGGAATTACAGGCTTACACCACCACACACAGCTAATTTGTGCATTTTTAGTAGAGATGTGGTTTCACCATATTTGCCAGGCTGGTCTCAAACTCCTGACCTCAGGTGATCCGCCCACCTTGGCCTCTCAAAGTGCTGGGATTACAGGTGTGAGCCACCATGCCTGGCCACATGGTGCGCTTCAATAGAGAGAGTCATCAGTATTGTTGCCATCATCATCATCATCATTATTATTATTTCCTCCTTAAATCTTTTGACCATCCTCTGCTGTAAGGAGGAGACTACTATTATCCCACTTCACAGATATTTTCAGATGAGGAAACTGAGGCTTTAAGAAATCAGACAACTTGCCTGAGCTGTTCACTGCCTGGGACATGATAGAACTGAGATAAAACCCTGGCAGGCTGACATGCATGCGCCTGCTCTCCTCAGAGCACTCGGAATCTCCCTGGGGAGAATGGCTCCCACCAAGAGGCACCGCATGGTTCCTTGAAGGTCTGTAGGGACAGCAAGTACCCACAGAACCCTAGCAAGGAGCAGCCACCAGAAGCTTTGGCACGTAGGCCCCAGGCAGTCCTGAGCCTGCTTCCAGGAAGCACGTTGGGAATCTCAGATGACTCTGCTCTGCTCACCCATACCTGAGCAGCTCACGCAAGCCCATTCAAGGCCTGCATCCCAGGAGGCTTGCTGCCCATGGGCTCCAGGGCAACCACCCTGCCAGCATGTCACCACCTCCATCAGCACTAGGCCTCAGCTCTGGCTAAGACCCCGAGGGGCAGGTCCAGGGACCTACAGGTGACTCAGGCTGCTCTGGGAAAATCCCAGGTCCTGAGAGTTACAGCTACCTGCAGGAAGAACCACCTGGCAATTCCTCAAACTACCAAGCAGGGAGCACCGAGGGCAGGTGGCATCAGCTTGTCTTTAACAGAGGCCGCTGTGAGATCTTGGTATCCAGGCCCACACAGCTCCAGGTAAACAGAACCTTACCAGGCACTTCGTTCTAACCTGGCAGATATGTGGCCTGAGGCACCCGAAGCCATTAAGAAGTGTGGTAATTGGACAATGATTTCCTCTTTAAAATTTAATATAGTTAAAGTCCATTTCATAAATCTGCCAAGCAGAGCCCGGCTAAAGTGGGCCTTTCCTTGACACTGAATCAAAGGTGCTGGGAAAAAACTCGTCAGTCCTATAAAAAGTTAATCAATTTCCAATGCAGAAATAGACAAAGGGAAATTTCCATCTTCAGAAGATTGATCTCAGGCGTTATGGTTGATCTCCCTTTTATCGAACACTCTTACTTGCTTGGTGAAGGGTCATTTTTTTAACATTATCACATTAAATTGCCTTTAATACAGCAGACCAAGCTGAGAATGTTAAATAAAGAGAAAATGCCTCTGCCTCCCTCCCCCCACACCAAAATAAAACAAAATCATTTTCTTTCTTCTGAGATTTCCTTCTGAGCATTTTCCCTGCAAGACCTTCAGTTCCGAGCACACTGGCCTCTGGCCGTAGCTCCAGCTGAGTGAGGGTGCCTAGAATTTCTACCCTTAGTTACCTTGGGACATGTGGCTGATGGTGCTGGGCAGGCCTCTGTGTCCTATGGCTCAGACCACAGCTGGAGAGGAGTTTACGAGAGCCTGTATCATCTGTGGCCTCCGTGCCAGAGTCACAAAGGTGGACATCTGTGTCCCGAGCAGGACAGGGCAGGCAGGGGCGAAGCTCAGGTCTAGGTGGATACAGCGGAGGGGTCTGGGAGTGTGCTGTGTCCAGGCAGCACTGCCTGCCATGGGTAAGGGCTGATGGGTGGTGGGTGGGTGCATGATGCAGCAGTGACCTCCAGCTCTACGCAGCTGGAAGCTGGCGGAGCTCTGTCCGCACACTGAGTTCAGCCACGGTTTGCTGGGTTTATCTGATGGGGCCTTTTCTCTCCTGTCTCCCAATCTATAGCACACAGCAGTAGAGCAAGTGGCCTCAAGGATTCCCATCTCAGACGGTCTGGGTGTGTCTGCCTAGACAGGGAAAAGACACACCTGCGCTCTAGTGTAGACTCTGCCCCAAGCACTATGTGAACCTGGGGAAGCCACTTCCCCTCTCTGAGCCCCAGTTTTCTCATCCATAAAATGAAGGAGTCAGACAAGACAAAACCAAGGAGCTTCAGGTACCCCTCAAGGCCCACTGAACTGTCCCTAGATTCCCTCTTGGCCTGAGTCATTTTCATCAATGCCCGTGACTCTAAACTCACCTGACTCTGGCCTTGTTCTCCTCCTCACCCCACAGCATGTACTGAAGAAGCAGGACCTGGATGAAGACTTACTTGGTTGCTCACCAGGTGACCTCCTCCGATTTGACGACTACAACAGTGACAGTTCCCTGACTCTCCGCGAGTTCTACATGGCCTTCCGTAAGTTGGGTTCTAGTGGGAAAAGGGCTTATTTCCCCAGGCGCTCCTGCACCAAAATGCTGTTGGGTGCCTGGAGTCTGTCCTCAGTTGTCTCCCAGGTTGGTTGCTTATACAGAGAAAAGCTGTTGAATTTGTTTTGCAACAAGCCTGAGCTTTAAGAAAAGACTAAATGGAGAGTGGATGGGGCCAGAGAGGGCTTGCCCTGTTCCTTTTGAATAAAGATTTTTCTCACTCTTTGAGGGGCCAGGACTGTAACTGAAGCATAGCCGTGAGGGCACTGTGAGCACCCCCCCGCCTTGGGGGTTCTATGACTGAAGGAGAAGGAAGCAGATTTTAGGGCTATCCTCAGGCTACGGCCTGGCCATGTGGGGAGCCCTGCCTGGAGGAAAACACCCTGCAGGAGGGCCTGGAGGCTTGGCCCTGCAGCAGCAGGGAGCAGTGACTACCCAAGGACAATGGAGAGTGAGGGTCCAAAGTGAAGAGAGGCAGGCGATCCCTGGAGAAGAAGGGAAAGTGGGTGCTCTTTGAAAACAGGAGGTACTCTGAGTGCCTCTCCAGGGAGTGCCTGGTACATATGCAAGTGGATGGGTGCCTTCAGGACCTGTATCTTTTACTAAGGTGATCTTCCAAGAGATTACATTAACCAGAGGCGGTGCTGGGACAGGACTTACAAGAAATGCAAGATACAAGAGCCCTGTGTAGCTCCAGGCAGGGGTCAGCAGAGGGGAGAGGAAAGGGCGGTGCTGGGCCCACGCTGGAGACTAGAGGGGACATCCTTGGCCCAAAAGAGATGAAGCCCCTTACGTTAGAAGATATTCAAGCTCTGCTTAAAGTGGGCAATGCATATACCCTTGGGTGTGACCTGCCAGCTCACAGTTCCTAAGCGCAAGCCCTGGCATTCAGGAGGTGGGTGCAAGCCCACCCCACCCCCAGGGGCCCTGAGCCACAGAGCCTGGTATCCTCCCTCAACCCCAGCCTTTACCTGGAGTCCCGTTTCCAGCAAAGTATTCCTGCTTCAGAGTGACATCTCTTTGGGCTGTTGCTATTCCACACCTTCACAAGGCCTGAAGAGGGATCCTTGTGATTTGTTGGCAAGCAGGGCTCTTGTGGCAAATAGAGAGGTACTTGGATGACATAGGAGGAGAGAAACAAGTATGATTCTTCCCTATGGGAAGTGTCCATGAGCTTGACCTGGTTTCAGGGGCCTTTCTAGTTCATATCATCCTTAGTACCAAAGTCCACCCCCCAGTTCCAGGGCTTTGCTTGATTTACTGTGACTGTGCAGGGTCCCCATCATCCTCCTCCCTGCCCACTAGTCAAACTCATACCTGCCTGTGCTGGTTCATAATAAGGTGAGAGTGACTGGTAGACTTATCCTGCTGTGGAGGTGTTTGTCTTGTGGGCCAAAGAGATTATTTCCAGAAATACATCTGGAAATACATTTGGAATGTGTGGAAATATCCACAACTCCCCACACCTGGTTCACGAGAGCCCATTGTTAAATTTTCAGGAATTTTGCAAGCAGTTAAACACTTGGTCGCGTTAAATTGGCCACATTGGGAATATTTACATCATAGAAATTCACAGCACACATATGCTACCAAAAAAGGGAAGGGGGAACATTTTTTCTTCTCTAGCGAGCCGGTTGTTAAACATTGACCTACATATCACTGGACAAGACCGTCTCTCCTGCCCTCGGAGTCTACTTCTGGCAATATCCTCCCTACCCGCCTCCCCACACTGAGACTCCTTGATGATTCCATGGAACATGAACAAGAGTAGGCTCGAGCAGCTAGGGCAGCTTACAGGAACAGCAGCTCTCCGAGTCAGGAAAGCAGCAACATGTTTTCTGGGGATAGTTCCAAGACATTCCCAAAAACGCTTTCTGAACCCAGACCCCTCTGCCAAAGGAGTGATGAAGGAAAAGCTCAGTGCATTTTTAGAGCCAGAGGCCAAAACTGGACTTCAGGGATTTGCAGGGCATACCGGGCATCATTACTTAATGTCCCAGGATGCCATCATTAAGCAGATAATGGCACTGCTTGGGCACCATCTTGGTGCCTGGTACCACAGCAGCCTCTGCTTTATGAGCACAGTTCCCATGAATGGGTCTGGGGCCAAACAGCAAGCTCTTGGCTTTGCCCTCAAGGAAATGGAAGCATCCCTATTGCCTATGATGAAAGAGGAGGCCTCTCCAGCTTCCCTAGTAAGGTCATTATAAACATGAGCTACCCTGGAAAGGGAAGGACGTCATTACCTGACCTCCAGCCACATGTCTCATACAGAGCAATGTGGTGTCAGCTCCCTTCGTTCCTGGATTATTATTTGGAAAGCTTTATAATCATCATTTTTAAAACAAATTAGATTCTGCTGTCGCCTTGGACTTGTTTTGAACCAGACAGCCAAACCATTCATCACAGCCCAGCCCAAATAATAGATATGCAATAAAACGTAAACTCACAGCCATTAAGGAAGCCGCAAAATGAGTTAACCCCCACTATAAAGGCTTGACATGCAGCCACTTGGAGCATATGGGGATCAATGGTTTTTCAAAGTCACAGGAACTCTAAACTAAATTCCCATAGCTCTGGGAATAGATTTATGGTTCAGCGAATTTTAAATAGGTAATTGAAATGAGACATATAGGTACAAGTTATTATCCAGCAATCGATGGGCATTAAAGAAATCTCACTAAAACCCAGAAAGTAATATCTCAAACATTTCAGCAACAACATTCTGGATTTAATTTTAAAAACTAGAGCTGATGGGCTGGCAGAGGTTGAGGCATTAGCATTTTATTTTCTAGTCTCTATTTTGCTGGCGTCCTTGGGTGTAAGGCAGGGGGAGGTCTGTGGGGTGACTCCAGCTCTGTAGCCTACCGATGCAGAGTCAATCACTTTACTAAAGGATGTTGGGTTTGGGGCTGTTTTCCCCAGAGAAGGAAGTTGTATTTATCAGTTTCTGAGGTTTGTGGGAGAGATCTCCTAAATCATGTCTTCCCGTGCAGCTGGCCTGGCCCTGGCTGGGCCATGCTTGCCACAGTCTGCAGCCGGCAGGGGGTGATGCTAGGAGTCCCACACTGGTGGCTGTCTGTGCTGAGCTGGTTTGTGATGGGGCTGCACCCCCTTACTGGCTGTGAGGAACAGGTGACTCTCCTCCAGGGTGGCAGGCAGTGCCTAGTCATGGGAGTCAGTTAAGTCTCTTTCTGATTGTCAGATGGAGCCAAGCCTCCCAATTGCCTCTCTCTGTACAGGGACAGGAATGAAATATGAGGGTGCCCCCTCTTCCTCCTTTTGTCAACTAAACATTCTCTTTGCATTGTATTGGCTTCCCAAACCACAGGCTGATCTAGGAACTAAAGGCTCAGTGTCCTTCTCCAGCACATGCCCTCTGCCTCCCCTTCCCCACACCACCTCCCACCAGCCCAACAAGGAGTGGTGCCACCTGTCCCTGCCATGGCAGAGACCCAGGCTCCAGGGTCACCATAAGCAAGGTGTGTGCTGGCCCTGTCTGTTCATCACAGTAAATTAACCTCAAAGTTGCTCATCTAAAAAGCTTCTCAATAATGCATGGTTTTTGCACTGTTCTGAATGCTCAGGTTGGGATCAGGGAAAACACATTGCTAAAAAAAAGGTTTTTCTCACTTTAAATTCATTGCAAGTTTCTTCTGCTTTTTAGAAAATAGTTGTCCATTTAATTACTCCTGTGAGAGCAAAACCCACAAATGTGTTGGATGCATGGGAAGGTTTTGAGCAGCTAGCAGTGCAGGATAAAGGGCTTCACATGTTAATGTCCTGGGACCACACAGGCAGAGTGTCAGGAGGACCTGGGGTGCTGAATGCCAGGGAACCAGACACCCTTCCTCACCTCTGACATGTGTAAACTCCAGGCAAGCAGAAAGGAAAACGGTGTTTTAATCTACAGCACTACCACTACAGCCAGGGCAACTCTATGAAACAGATGATATGGTCATCTGGTGAATTTACAGCTGTTTTTTCACCATCTCTGCTGCTAAGTGAAAGGATGGTGCAGCTTCACTTACCACGCCCCTATCCTCTGGAACTAATGGTGCCTGGCCCCATACCAGACTTCCATACACACTATCTCAGCCAATCCTCACACCCACCCTGTATTGAGCAGGATGGTAAAATAAGCCACCGTAAGCATCCTCACTACCCAGATCTATCTGGCTCTTTATCTGGGTAGGGTGAGTTCAGACAAGGAGTTTAGATAGCAAGGATATTGCTTTGTTCTACTCCCTCTCATTCCTGAGTTTTGGATAGTAAGTAACAAGATTTTAAATAGCATGGGGTTTTATCTGAATTTTATCTGAATTGACTCAGCTCTTGAATTCGGAGAGCAAGCAATGCCTATGAGCTGGTCTGTTTTGACTGAAGCCAAGACTCTAGGTGCCAGTGACTCCCCCTACCCCAAAGGAAGACACTGGTTTTGCCACACAGGATTTGCAAATAAAGTGGCCGAAGAACTGATTCACTGCCCTTGGTCCCTCATTTTCTCAAGGGCACAAAACAGTTAAAGCTGGAGTGGCCAAGGGAGGAACTGAAAATTGGAAGACAGAAGGGGTGATCTCACCACCTCCTCCCAGAGACAGAAGTGGGGTTGCTGTCCTGACTTCAAGTGTATAGAGAAGGCTTCAAGAAGACTGCCATGTGAGCTCCTGAGGCCAGCTCTGGAGGACGGGGTTCACAGTCAGTGTTCCATTTGAATGACTTTGCTCGTCAGGATTGCTGTGGTTAGTAATAGGCTCTTCGTACTCCAGTTGCATGAAGTGATACCCAGCATTTAACATGTGTCAGCACTGTACACTATGTCCAATTTCACAGATGAAGAAACTGAAACTCAGAGAAGTAGCTAACCCAAGGTTACGTAGTCAGCAGGTAGCAGAGTCAGGATTCAATGGGCATGTCTGATTCTAGAACTTTCTCATGCATTTAAACAAACTTTGCAACACATCTGCATTCTCCATTGAAGAGAATCTC